AGAAGCAGAGTTCTGAAGGCTGAGCATAGTGTCTTTTACAAAGGCAATCCCAGCTACTAAGGAGCTAGAGATGAAGAAGTCTGCCTGGGCAGAAAGCTAGCAAAACAAAAAAGCTGGACATCGGGTCCATACCTGTAACTCCATTTATGCAAGAGATGAGGCTGGACCTAGACAAAAAAACGTAATGTACTAATTGAAAAACAACTAAGTCAAAAATGACTTAGTGGTATGGCACAGGAGCAAAGATGAGAGCCTAGCACGGGTGAGGCTCTAAGTTTACAGCAAGTACCAACTCCCTCCCTACCCCCCCCCAATAAACATGGTTAGGCTCTCAAGTGGCTGGGTTGCTAGAAAACTCTCTATAATCTCTATGTCTCCCTGTCTTAGAGTCCCTATTGCCTACCTCCGTGTCTACCCATCAGCTAAGCACTCACATTTCTCCATTTTGGGCATGAGACATAATAACACTGAGAATCCAGGTCTCAACAGCTCAGCAATCAGTTAGCCTTGCACTCAACTCCATTTTGACCACGTGACGTAAGTTGATAACAGATTCCCTTCCCATCTCCTATAATGAGTTCCATGGCCCAATTCACTGGCTCTGACTGGAATTCAGTTCTTCCGAGAGCATCAAGCATCACTGGAGACTATTTGAAATGCAATAATTAGTGCTCCCTCCCATGCCATTGACACAATTAGAATCTGCATAGAATCATTACTAACAAAATCCTCAGAAGACCCTCATTCTAGATGACAAAGGCCAACATCCAAGTGAGACTGGCAGCCAGAGTAATGGGGCCTCCTGATTGGATTCTTTCCAGCCTGCTTCATCTCAACCTTCCACCAGCAACAAAGAGAAGCATTCTGAGGCCCAGTCTGTTCATTCTTAAGACTCCAGCACAGCATCTAGGATCTTCAGGAACCTAGATCCAGGAATGGCTCAGCTTTGGCCAGCCTCGTCTCCCACCAAACACCTGCTTCCCACTCAATGCTCCAGACCTGTGATTCCCAGAAAGCAGTACTTAGCAAGGCCTGGACTTTTATTAAGGCAAGTCTGACTCGTATACTAATATCTTTCAAATAGTACCTGAGAGAAAACCAGAAAACAACACTGAAAAGCTTAAGTATCACAAATAAATGGTTCTGGGAAATAGGGCAAAGAAACAAGACAATGTTTTATTTTCTTTCCTCACTTTTCTATTTGCATTCATTTTTTCCCCTCTTCTCCATGTATTGATTTTGCAATCTAGGAAAAAGCTAGGCTGGTTTAGACACTGGAGAGACATGTAGCTGGTTTCAACTGCTAACATATTTTAAACGCTATAACTGACTTCAGAGTATGTTCATGTACCTTTGAAAAGATTAAATTGATATTGTGGGAAACTTGCTGAATAATTCATATGGTTTCAACAGTAAAATCTTTGAAAAGTCAAACACATCCCTCACAGCTCCTTAAACATGTCATTAAAAACATTTTTGTTCTTTTAACATGTAATCATTTTCATTTTTCAAAATTAGCCTTAGATTCTGAACTAGGAGATTCTAAGTTTAAACAAAATTTGTGGCTCTAAATCAAGTCCTTAACTAGTGTGGCTCACTAGTGATGCCCTTACTTAGTATGGAATCATCATATGATGATTCATTGTTAGGAGCTGCTCTTAACTAGTATGTAATCATCCTATGATGAGTCTTAACTAGTATGTAATCATCATACAATGATGGTTAGCTTCTAGGACCTGCTCTTACCTAGTATGGAATTATCATATGATGACCTTTAGTTACTAGGACCTGCATCACATGCAACTGAAGTCTACATGAACCTGCCAAACTCAAGGCTGTATACTGATCCTGTTTAGACCTTACCAAGTGAGAATTTACTAACCTACCATTGCATTCCATACACATGTGCACGTGCACACACGCACACGCACACACACATGGGCGCACGCGCGCGCACACACACACACAGAGCTGGCTACAATTGAACTTTCCAAAACCCTAATTTAAATTTTAACTTGCAAAATTATATAACTACAACTCAAATAAAAAAGTAGTATCCAACCATTTAAATAATGACCATTCTGAATTAATTATTCCATGCTGAAAAACTATTAATAAGAAAACTTACATTTAGAAGCTTGCTCATTTTATATCCCACTATTTTCCATTCCTACCTGAACACTTAGATGTAAGATCACTGATTCATTTGCTTAAAATGATTTAAAACTTCTACTATTTATAATACAGTTGCTTCCAAGGTTTTTAAGGGACAAAAAAGAAAAAATAATGGATAAGAAGTAGAATTTTTAAATAATTAGGGCACCATTAGGGGTAATTAACAAAAAAAAGTATGACCATGGTACTCAAATCCAGACTTGATCAGATGCCAAGTAACTTTAGATACTGATTTCCTGTTTCCAAACTGAATGTAATGTCTTTCCTCAATTCCTTCCCACAAAATCTCCCATTTGGGATTTTTAAGGGGTGTGTGTGTGTGTGTGTGTGTGTGTGTGTGTGTACATCATATACTGTTGCAAATTTTTATTTCTTTAAAGCTTACCACTCAATTCTTATAGTTTGGACTTTAACTATACATTTTAGACATTCTCATCAGAAGATTATATTTTTTATAAGTAGATTTTAGATTATCGCTTCTCAGCCTTTTGGCTAAGGATCAAGTGTAGTATCTGTTTTTATCAGTTTAAAGAAAGTAAAATAAGCATAGTAAAATATGCACAACATCACTTATCAATAGGAATTTCAAATCAAAACTATAATGGGACACCATCTTTAATTCGTTAAGTTGACTACTACCAAAAACAAAACAAAACAAAACAAAACACAAAACACAAAAAATAAGTCTTGCAGAAAATGTGTGGACTGGGAAAGTAGTTAAGTGGTAGAGTAGTTGCCTAGCGTGCATGAAGCTCTGGGTTCGATTTCTCAGTACCACATAAATGGAAAAGGACGGAAGTAGTGCTGTGGTTCAAGTGTTATAGTGCTAGACTTGAGCTTCTAAAAGAAGCTCAGGGACAGTGTCCCCTGAGTTCAAGCTCAGGAAGGGCAAAAACAGAAAAGAAAATGTAAAGATATTGGCACACTGCTGTATACTATTAGCAAGAATTTTTAAATGGTATAGCCATTGCAACAAACAATATAGTAGTTCCTCAAAAGTTTTTAAATAAACCACAGGCTCATGCTATTCATCAGGCTAAAACAGGATGATTGTGGTTTCAGGGCAATTTGGGCAAAAAAGTTCATGAGGTCCCATCTCTAGAGCAAAAAAACTGGGCATGGGGGCACATGCCTATCATCCCAGATACAGGAGGAAATGTAAATAGGAAGACTTTGGTCCAGGCCAGCCAGGGCAAAAAGCAAGCTCTTATCTCAAAAATAGTTGGTTCATTGTATATCCATTTTTCTAATTTGGGGAGGGGAAGGGAAATAACAAAATGCTGAAATAAGGATACAGGTTGACCCGATGTAAGAATGAGATGTACAAGACACTATGCTGAAAACAAACTTTACAACTTTGCGGGGAGGGAAGGGAGGGAGGAGTTGGGGAGATAGGAAGGGAAGGGATGGTAGGGGAAAAGGAGAAGAGGGGTTAACAATGCCTGATAGTAAATGTACTCATTACCTCACTCACATAACTGTAACCCTTCTGTATAGTATCTTTACAATAAAAATATATATTTAATAAAACTGGTTCAAAAGGATTGAAGATGGCTAGAGCAGTAGAATGTCTGCCTGAGTAGAATGAAGCCCTGAGTTCAATCCTCAGTAGCATAAAAATGGGGGGAAAAATTCAGAGAATTACCAAATGATCTAGCAATTTTATTTCTGGGATTATACTCAAAAGAATTAAGAGCAAAGTTTCACTCTAAACAAATATTTGACAACCATGTTTATAGCAGCATAATACATAATAACTAAAATGATAGAGGCAATAAAAATGTTCATCAGGAGATGAATGGGTAATGCAATAGACTCTTCAGTCTTAGAAAAGAATACAATCTGGAATACACTATTACAAAAACACCACTCCAATAGTAATAATAATAATGTTATATGATTGCAATTACATTAGACACTTAACATGGTCAAAACCACAGAGGCAGACAGTAGACTTGATAGATAGGTAGATGTTATTTAGTGGGCCTATAGTTTCAATTTTACCGTTACCAGGTATGAGGGTATATGCTTAAAGCCCCAACACTTAGGAGGCAGAGGCAGGAGGGTGTCCCCTAAGTTCAAGCTCAGGAAGGGCAAAAACAGAAAAGAAAATGTAAAGATATTGGCACACTGCTGTATACTGTTAGCAAGAATTTTTAAATGGTATAGCCATTGCAACAAGCAATATAGTAGTTCCTCAAAAGTTTTTAAATAAACCTGAGCTTCTTTTAGAAGCTCAAGTCTAGCACTCTAACACTTCAACCATAGCACTACTTCCGGCCTTTTCCATTTATGTGGTACTGAGAAATCGAACCCAGAGCTTCATGCATGATAGGCAACTACTCTATCACTTAGCTACTTTCCCAGTCCACACATTTTCTGCAAGACTTATTTTTTGAGGCCAGACTGGGCTACCTATTGAGTTCAAGGCTAGCCTGGGCTACATAAGCAAGATCCTGTCTCAAACAAAAATAGAGCATAAATAGTTAGAGATGGATGGTGGTGATGGTTGTACAGCATTACAGACACCACTACCATAACTGAATTGCACACTTAAAATGGCTAGGACAGTAAATTTTGTTAGGTTATTCTACAATTAAGTAAGTTACTGGAAAAGAGACAAGCAAATGCTTTTATAAGAACACAGAAAATCCACATTGAGTCCTGAATATAAAGCAAATATTTTATATTTCATGTATAAAGTCCATCTCAGATGGTAGTAGAAGATAAAACTAATAAAACTAGTCAACACTCTTAAGAACCACAGGCAAACTTCATTTCAAAAGGTCAAGACCGTAAGTAACCAGAACCAATAGACAAGGTACCTGAATAAATGAAGCGCAGAATGTCTGATAAACAAGAACAGAAGAGGGCATCTTTAACAATGACTCGTAATGGTGGGTTGCCTGAAGATTCCTGGCTAGCACCTGCAAATGCGGTATCTCTGTTTATAGCAAATAGATCCTGGGTAGTTCGGATGATACTCGAGTCCTGAATCTCAGTGGGACTCTTCACATTGAAAAGCAGCATGAAAACATGGCTTACAGCGCAGAGAACAATCTTGTGGGCCTCTACGACTTCCTTTACATCTGGGTGGTAAAATACCACGTCCACACACTGGCAGCAGAACAGCAGGTTATTTAAGTCAGAGTTGTAATGTGATGCTTCGGCCTTTAAGACAGGCATTTTTTCTGTTTCAGAAAATAAAAACAATAAACTACAAATGTAATCACTTCAGCTTTACTTTAAATATAACACCATAGTTTTAATAGTATTAGCTCAAGCCATAAGAAAATGCCAATATTAGCTCATTATTTTTAACCTACAAAAACAGCAATTTTGAGGAGCTTAACCTAACAATATGGAAACATCTAAAGTCCTTTACCTCCTGGGACTGAAAGTGGAGGTCAAGGGCTATACTGATAATATTTTAGTGTGACTTCTCAATGTCAGAGAAGTAACATTTCTTCACCTTTCTACTTCTCCATAAATTGTAACTACTCACGATACCTCTGGGTACTTACCCAAAGGTCTGAAACCACCTTATCCAGTTTGTTTGGGACCTAGTCTTTTTTCATTCAATTAAAAAATATACTTCACATGACCGTAATGTCAACTCAGCACACCTCATCAAAAGTGTTGACTAAGAAGATTTACTAGTTTATCACTAACAAAGAAATAAGTCCTCCATCAGTTCAGAATATACACCCCCAACACACACATACATTTCCTCATAAGACATCCCAACTATGTCTACCTTCTCATTTTTTTGCAAAGCTGAGCTAGATCTATCTATGAAGGTTTGCTGGAGAGATGTGCAGTGGTATAAATCAATGGAATTCAAGCTATTGAAAAAAAAAACAGTAAAAATCCTTTATTCTCAAGCAGAGTAAAACAGTTAACAAGGTGTTTGGGGGTCTGACCACTCTCTGCACTGTACCCCTCCCATCCACCCTTTAATTACCTGTAGCTCCTTCATAGGACTTAAGTGCTGGGACAAGTCTGAAAGTCACATACCCTGGAGCCCAGGATTTGTCTTTAAAGCAACTGAGCCCCAGAGCCATACTCCTGACTGTGTCATGTGGATCCTGAGTGTTGTTTATTGCCATGCTCAGGCCTCTCTTTAACTGAAGAGAGCAAGAAATAACCTTGGGAAAGTGGAGAATGCATTTATAACTTCAAAATATGTTTATGACCTCTAAAAATCAAAGGAGCAACTAAACATGCTCGCTAAGGAGACACTTTTGAGGGGCCCTGTTTACTGTACCAATGAGTGCTACCAGATGAAGATTCACGGAAGAAATGTCTTTTAGTGCTAAAGGATATAGGATGGGCTTCACTTTCTCTGAGGAACTAGTATGTTTTCTCTCCTCAATCAATAAGAACTAACAACCAGTACATTACATTACATCTACATTATTGATCTGGCCATTTCCCTCCCATCTTCTAATCCAGGAAGCATTTAAAGCCCCAGAGTTTACTACTAAATCCCTCTTTGTACTCTGCATCCTGAAAGCTCAAAGTCAAATGTGGGTCATTTATGGATTATGTTGCTTACATTTTTTAAACTTGGAAATTATCTTCCATTCTAACCTGTATTTTCCTGATTTTTATCTATATCTACTCATTTCATAAATATTTTTCAAATGCCACTTTCGAATTTTTCTTTTTAATTAGCACTAAGAATTTTACATATTGATGAGGTTATTGTATAGTTATCTAAAACATGCACACAATGTATAATGATTAAACTAGGGGTCTTAGCATTTCTATCTACATATTGCTTTATATTTGAGGCCGTCTAATGCTTCATTTCCATTTCTTTATAAAACATGTAATACATTCGTGTAAATGATAGCCCACCTACTATGCTACCAAGTGCCAAATTCTTCAAACAATATCAAAATCAATAGAGACATATTTTATTTCATCATAAAATTATATAAAAGTTCTAATAACAGTTACAGTAATTAAATTAAATAAATTGTTTTCCTTTGAGAAATACAAGGCTTTGAATTCAGGGTCTGACTCTTCCCATGTACTCTCATTTGAGCCACCCCCCCAACCCAAATAACTTAATCTTTTAAACCTCTCTTAACATTGTGAAACATCAAAAACAGTTAAAATTCTGATGCAGTGAACACACTTAAGATTCAGTAATTATTAACTTTCAACTTTTTTTTGCCTTATCTCTAGATAGAAAGTCAAACAGACACATGTACATGGTTGACCCACTTACATATAAGTTGTGGCCACTGGGACACTTTGGCTCTAAAATGTTTTCCAATTCATCTCCCAAAAATGAAAACCTTCTCTTCTAATCACAGTGCCATCATCACAGGAAAATTAACTAAATCCTATCATATTGTCTAATGTCCAGTCCATACTAAAATGTTGCCCAAATGAATTGTCTTTTTAGGGTTTTCACTGAACTAGTATTTGCTATAAGGTTCATACATAGCATTTATTCTATAACTAGAACAGCTCCCCTTTACCACTTTCTATTTTTAAAAATCTACAGGATCAAATTTAACACAGTCTTCCTTAAACTGCGGGTTGCATATCACCTGCTTCAGCATCACCTGAGAAGTTTGTGAGCTCAGTGCCAAGTTCACCAAACCAGAGATTCACACAAAAGCCCCAAACATGTTTAGATTTGAGAATCACTGCTCCAAACCTTGAAGAATTATTTATATGTTATATTATATATAACTAGTTATATATTTCTTTTATATGTTACATATAACAATGTGCTTTTGTATTATATATTTTATATATAACTATCTACTAAAACGTTGCATACCTGGTTGCTCAAGCTGGGGTGGTCTAATTCCATGAAATGAGCCATTCATTTTCCTTTTCTTCATTTTTTCACTGGTCTTCTGGTTTAAGGCTTGAATCATAAAATACTCCAACTAAAACATGCATCAAATTGGAATTAAAAATCCAAAAGAATTGTTCCTCTGATATGTTTGTATCCCATATCACATTTGCTAAAATTTTTGTATAGTCCATGCATTAACATTTTTTACTAAAAAAAATATCTAGAGCAATAGATGATACCTTGCTGCACATTAATAAACTTCCCCTATTTAATAAAGTTTTCCTTCCTTTTCCTTTTTTTATTTTTTTTGGGGGGGTCTGGTCGTGGGGCCTGACCTCTGGGCCTGGGCACTGTCCCTCAGCTCTTTAGCTCAAGGCTAGTGCTCTACCACTTGAGTCACAGCACCACTTCCGGGTTTTTTTCTTTTTTGCTTATGTGGTGCTGAGGAATCGAAGCCAGGGCCTCAAGGCAAGCACTCTACCACTGAGCCAACTTCCCAGCCCTCCTTTTTTTATTTTTAAGTGGTACTGGGGATTATACTCAGGCCTCAAAGATTGTTAAGCAAACATTCTATCACCTGAGTTACAAACCAGTTTTTTGGGTTATTTTTCAGAGAGTCTCATACTTTGTCTGGGCCAGACTCAGACAACAGCCCCCACCTTTAGAAGGGTTGAAATTACAGTCATGTACCACCACATTTGACTAGGTTGTTTTTTGTTGTTATTGTTTTGTTGTTAAGACAACAGTTTTGTTCTCTTTGCATGGGCTGGTCTCAAATGATGATTCTGTATCTCTACCTCCTGAGTAGAGTAGCACTGATTACAGGCATAAGCCATCACACCTTTCTAATTTTCTAATTTCTAGTTTGTAGTAACAATTACAACTTGTGGTTACTAATTTTGTTGTCAGTGGACCACCACTGGAGTTAATACTAGTAAAGTACAATGCAAGTAAAAAATCTCTATGTCTACAGATGGTCCTACCATCTAGGCAACTTCAATTTTTTTCCTCTTTGAAAGTTTTCTTTTACTTTTCAAATTAGAAGTCTCATCCACACGCATTTTTGTAGATCCAAGCAAGGCCAAAAGCAAAAGCATAAATAGATGTTCACTCACACAAAACAACAACTGAGTGTTATAAATCAAGAAAACAAAGCATTACATAAAAGATATCTTATATTCCTGTTTTGACAAATGTGTCGTCATCCAGTCCTAGACAGTCAAATGTAGATTTTAATTCTCAGATTACTCAGAAGTTCGTGTAGCTAGGTCACTCCTAGCTCTCAGACACTAAGAGTACCTCTCATTTTCTCACCTCTGCTCCATCCCATACCCAGAACAGAACTGTCCCCACAAGTAGACACCCAACCTCTTATCTGTTCTCCATTCGCCCTTCCTCTCCTCTCAGACCTTCAGGGATACACACCAGCAATGCAGTCCGCCTTCAGGACAGACCCCAAAAAAGAGGTTTGCACATTCCCTGAAACAGACTCTGGGCCAGTGTGCACAAAATTCTGGAGGCCTAGGTTTGGGGGCACAGCCACAGCTCTGTCCCAGAGAACCTTCTGTTGATAGACATGTTCTATAATAGCTGTTCGGTCCAACAGCAGATGATGCTTACATGCAGACATGTTGCTATAGAACACTGGAAACAGAATGCTTAAGGAACTCAATTTTATTTTATTTCAATTAGCTTAAATGGAAATAGACACACGTAGTAGCTATCACACCAGACAGTGTAGGAATAGGAGAAGGGTAGGCATATGTCCTTGGCTTCATAAACTTGGCCTTGTTGGACAAGGGCCAGATGATGATCGCCAAGGCTCACAGAAGGTATCCCACTTTCCTGGGGCAGAAGGGAGCACTGCACAGCTCTTCATCCCTGACTCTTAAACATACATTTTGAAGCCCTTTCACTCTAGTATCATCTCCATTCATATTCTTTCAAATGTTATGATTTATTACCCACAAGATCTCAATTGGGCCAGGCACTGGTGGCTCACGCCTGTAATCCTAGCTACTCTGGAGGCTGAGATCTGAGGATCGCGGTTCAAAGCCAGCCCGGGCAGGAGAGACCGTGAGACTCCTATCTCCAATAAACCACCAGAAAACCGGAAGTGGCGCTGTAGTTCAAGTGGTAGAGCGCTCGCTTTGAGCTGAAGAGCTGAGGGACAGCGCCCAGGCCCAGAGTTCAAGCCCCACGACCAACCAAAAAAAAAAAAAAAAAAAAGATCTCAATTGGGCATAAATGATCAAAAGTCTAGAAAGATGCCTGCCATTCTGACTAATTTTGTCAACAAAACATTCTTTCTCCCAACTTTGACCACATCATCAATCCTCATCATGCTCCCAACCTCACTGCAACCTTAAGCCTTAGGAAAAAGGAGAGGCAAGGAGAGACAGAAAAAAAGAGAATAAGTGTGAGTGGAAAGGTAGGAAGACTGATTCTGAGTTCTCAAGCTTCGGATCTTTGAATGGGGATCCGAATCCCAAGGCTCACAACAGAATCCAACATCCTTAGCACAAACGAAACCAAATCCAATCAATAAAACAGCCAATAAATGAAATACCTGCCCCCTCCCCTTGCTTATTCCCTGGGTATTTTATAGAAATATTTAATTCAGTTAAGAATTATACATCTTTTTTTTTGGGGGGGGGGTCTGGTCGTGGGGCCTGAACTCTGGGCTTGGGCGCTGTCCCTCAGCTCTTCAGCTCAAGGCTAGCACTCTACCACTTGAGCCACAACGCCACTTTCGGCTTTTTTCTTTTTGCTTATGTGGTGCTGAGGAATCAAACCCAGGGCCTCATGCATGCAAGGCAAGCACTCTACCACTGAGCCACCTTCCCAGCCCAAGAATTATACATCTTAAAGATATTAAATATAATTCCTGGGTGAATAATAGCCACTTATATTTGATACAGAGCAGTCCTGTGATACTTGCTTCTTATTTTAGCCAGCTTAGTTAGCTCCAGAACAAATTACACTTTTAGTACCATCAACATTTCAACATGAATGTACATAATGAATATTATGGAGTATTGGGAAAAGTGGTCAAACACAAGCTAGGAGAGTCACAAACAATTCCAGAGTGCTCATGTTTAATGTAGACTTTTTTTTGGTTTGTCACCTGCCATAGCTGATAATCGGAGTTGCCTGTTGAAATGAGGCACCTTTTCCCAAACTTGGTCAGTTCTTAAAATGATACAACTCCACAGCACCCTCCAAGGACCACACAGTCCTAATATTATGTCTAGGTATATGTGTTAAGAAAAGCCTCAAAATGGACCACAAGACAAACTAAAAGCCACTGCCACTGAGCAAGCAATCTCTGGCTCGCGTATGTCCAACAAGAAGCTATTTATTTAAGCAGTTCCCAGAATATGTTTAAACTACAACAATTTTAGTATGTGCAATCTTGCTGAAGCAAACAGAAGGAAGAAAACCATTCTTTTTGAGTAGTTGAAAAAACAAGAACTTTCAGGTCCAACTGCCTCAGGTAGTCATGTTCATTCAGCTGCACCACGATTACTATCAGCCCAAACAGGAAAATATGCTTTTGATTATGTACAATGAACAAATGAAAAGTATCTTAAGAGATAATAGAAAATGTTTCATTTAAATAGGAAAATGTATAACTTTCCTCTATCAAGCTGTTGCTATTGACTTTCATTTTATTTCTCAAAGTTAAAGACTAATCAGGCTTTAAAAGTAAAGCTTTCAGAAAACAGCCAAGGAATCAATCTGACAAATGGCTTAATATGTAACAGAAATTTCCACATACCACTCCTCCAAAATATTTTCCTATGTAGAAGTCATCAAGGCTGTGTAATTCAAGATAAGTAGCTCCCAGTTCTTTAGCAAGTTGAATTCCTTCTGTTGTACTAACACAGCTCCCACGGTCTGAGGTACATAGTGGGCATGTACAAGGTAATTCTTCTGAGAAAATAAATTCAAAAACAAAGAGCTTTGAAATTAAACAGGAAACAAGTACACATAGGCCATCTGAACACTGAACAAAGATTAAGAGCTTAAATTAGTAGCACTAGCCACTATATACTCAACAAAGTGTCAGGAATAAAAACAAGCATTAACTACAAGGGAAATAAACAGATTATTAGAAAGCAGAAGAATGTAAAAACAGGCAGTGGGTATTACTAAACCTAGTATAGTAATAGACTAACCCTGCCAAAACAGCAGACATGCTCTTTCATTTAACCATGACAATCTGAACTTCAATGTTCTAGGCCAGTAGAAAAGAATTCAAAGTTGAATTCCCCATAAATCCATGAAAAACAGCAGGGAAGATTTTCTTTGTAATGAACTTTAAGTATATATCTATATTCACCAAACATGAATAAGCTTTATACTTTCATTTTAATGGAATCCTCAATCTAACCTCATGTTCAAGGCAAGAAACTCCTACTTTGTAGATTTTGTACAAAGTACATTCTTATTAGTTCAGACATGTAAATGATTTGACTCCAAAATATTCCAACTTTAGAGACTAAATTTGGTCACTTTATTTTTGCCCTTAAGATTAAACATTACAGAAACAATAAGTACCCAAAAAGTAAGCTGTCCCAAGATTGATGTTGTACTATACACATATTTATAGCTGGGAACGTATAGACCAGCCTATGTATAAGAACACACCCTACTAAGTCTAAAGATATGTCTTCAATTCCACATTTAACACTTTGCTGTTTCACCACCAACACACCAGTTGTGTCACTGTTCAAAAGGCCAGCAAGTCAAAGAAGGCAAAGTCATCTCTAGAAATGCATGTCCTTACAGGTTGACTTCCCTGAGCAACACAGCTCTGACATGAAGACTGGTGTGCATTAACCTTACTTGGGGAATGGATGATCTTAAGAACAACTCTTCTAAGCAGTGAGAGATATGAGTCTCGGTAGAAGGAAAACTTGAACTGCAGTGCAGTTGATCATAGACCCTACAAAGCTCTAAAGCCTAGCAGCTGTTTCAGAGTTGCTCTTCCCTTAAAGGAAGGAAGCAGAGCCTCCATACCTTCTTCCGACATGGCTAGGAATTAGATGAGTGCATAATCTTGGGCAACTTCCATCCATGGAGGACAATAAATGTAAGAAAACTGACTGAAAGACACTCAGCTGTTTGCCATCAACTGACAATCCTGGTAATGAAAGGGTTAGTGTCTTTGAAAGAGTATTTGAGTAACTCCTCACAGGTGAGCAAAACTTGTTGCCTAGCTACTCTATATGAATGGAGCACTTATCTGTACATATTGGGGTTTATATTAAGGATATTTAGTGTATATGCATACTATGTATGTAATCATGTATTATGTATGTGCACACAACATGACTTCTGGGATGCATTTTTAGAGCTCAGAAACTATGGATTCACACCCCTCATTTTTTAAAGAGGTGAAAGTTGCTTTTCAGAGTGGTTACATGGCTTATTCAAGTCTCCTCATTTATGCAAAATGGAGAAACAATAATAAAACTTGTTCTATCTGACAAAGTAACATCAAAAGAGAGAATGAAAATTTAGTTTGAGTAAGGAGTAAGCAATTCTAAAGATGCAATAATTTAAAATTTAAATTTGGCTTCTTTAATTATTCCATAAATTTTAATCTGAGTCTTTCTTTGCTTTTTACTTTTTCCAAAATCCTTTGAGGTTTGGAGTAAAGTTTTCATGAAGAAATTTGTATGTCATGAAAAACATCACATTAGAATTTCTCATTTCTCACAAAGCCTTCTTTACAAAGCTTTGATTTTCTGAAGGCAGAGGCCTTGTTAAGTCTACAAAAGTCTTCTTATATTGAAGGAATGGGGTGAGTGGGCAGATCATCTTATTAAACTTTATCTCTGGACAAAAATTAAGCTAAGTCAGTGTTTCAAGTGAAAAATCAAGTGAACATAATATCAAATGACTATTAACAAACAACTGTGCTTTTAGGAATAAGTAAAATTAACTTTAGGTTAAAAATGAACTGATTAGGGTTTTTCTCGCACAGTGTATCCATTTCGCAATGTTACTGAAGACACTTCTTTAATTTTCTTTTTAGCAGTACTGAAGTTTAAGCTCATCACCTCACATTTACTAGGCTGGCCTTCAACCACCTGTGATATAATTCAGTCCCACAGAAACTTATCTTTTTGTTTACTTACCAAAAAGGACACATGTGCACTCCTAATACGCAACAATTTGTAGTAATTAGTTGTGTCTTAGTTACCTGCTTTTTATCTGAATTATAAAGTATTATTTTTTCAAACCTTCTTCAGAGACTTTTGTTCTAATTAGTTATCTTGTAAGTTTCTTCTGAACCATCCTACATTAATGTGCACATCAAACAGCAACATAAGCAAAGGTCTAAGTAAAAGTCTGCCTTGACTTGGTTATACAGAAGAACCAAAACAAAACGACTCTATATTTAATAAATTTACACTAAGCATTTTATCAAGAAAGATCTGAGGATCCAAAATAAAAGCTGATATCTCCCGGTCATAGTGGATCATGGCTATATTTCTAGTTAACACTGTAGTCCTTTTTCCTTAAGAAAGCAGGAAACAGTTAACTCCGGCATTCAAATAAAGGGCAAAAGTTTTCAAAGGAGATTTGGGAAGTTGCAGAGTAATTCTTACAATGTTGCCACTGCACAAAAGTTTTGTAATTCTTTTCAAAACTTCTAGCTCTATCAAGAATTTAAAAAAAAAAAACCTTCAAGGTAGAATGCCCATCTTCAGAGGTTTAAAACATCCTTGAAACATTTTGCAAATAACTTTCCTTTAAAAGTAGACCCACTGTTTAGTAAAAGCCAAAAATCTATTTAGAGCTATGATAAAATTATTCACACAAATATAGTTTGCTTATCAAAGATATGAGTCAAGGCTGGACTACGTTACATAGCCTGGAATCCCAGCATGTAGAAGTTGAGGGAGGAAGACCACAATTCTGAGGCCAACCTCAAAAGTTCTGGGTATTCAGAAAGTATGTCAGGCCAGCTTGGACGCATAGTAAGACTCTGCCTCAAAAAACAAAATACTACCTATAGACAGATATAGATAAGTAATACACATACAGACTCAACAAAAGAAATGAAACTGAATATATTTGCTGAATAATTTCTAGAAAGAGTTCCAAGAGAATTATCAGGAGAGCACCCTGTTTGGCTTTATGTATTGCAAGAAATAGGGCAGGAAGGAAGGGTACAATAATGAAGATCCTCAAATGAAATAGCCAGATTTACATCTGTAATTACCTTTTAATCACATCCTTTATGGTAAATTAATTTTAACTTGTTAGTGAAATTGATTCTCTTCACCTAGATTATTCATAAAGCCATTCATTCACTCATTGAACAAATGTTTCCTGAGTACCTACCACACATCAAGCAACAGGGACATAAAGATATAAAGATAAAAGGGACTCACAGTCAACTGAACCAAGATAGACATGACTGCCAACATGAGTAACATAATATAATAAGTACTAAAATAAAGGTACACATAGTTGCCATAGCAACAGAGGCAAGAAAATTAACTCTCTGTAGGGATTATGGAAGGCTTCACAGAAAAGATGACTTAACAAATAACTATGAGCTTGCTAGGCAGATACGATAGCAGCTGTATATGAGGCATTCCAGTCATAGGAAATGGCACAGGTAGAGGTCTGGATGTGAGAAAAAAGAAAAGAAACACACTCATTTCCATTTTCAAGATGGCAAACTAAGCCCACACTGCCATCTTCCCTCCTGGCCATACTGTAGAAAGGGTAAAGTGGAGAGGTGAGGAGGTAGGAACGATTGAATAGACCATAACATTAAAAGTAGAGAGGAGATCTCATCAGCCCAGAAACTTAAGAGCTCCTGACAGAATGAGGGCAGATAGTGCAGGACTCAAGCAGAATGAGAAATCCAGGAGACAGGTGAAACCCACACACTGCTCAACAATATGGAAAGCAAAAAGCAGGAGGTCCCAAAGCAACTAACTGAAGATTGGCTGAACAACCAACAAGGAAGCACTGAGGTCCACAGTGTGTTGTTCATCTACTACAATCCCCAGAGAGCAGCTGGGCAGAAAGAAAAGAAAAGCCAGGCACAAACTTTCCCACCGGGGGAAGTATGTTGCACAAGAATGCAAATTAAGAGTGCCTGAGAAACAGCAATATCTGAAACAAAACCTCATCAAATGAAAAGATTCAGGGGCTGGGAAGGTGGCTCATGGTAGAGCGCTTGCCTTGCATGCATGAGGCCCTGGATTCAATTCCTCAGCACCACATAAGCAAAAAGAAAAAAGCTGGAAGTGGTGCTGTGGCTCAAGTGGTTGAGCTGAAGAGGTGAGGACAGCACCCAGGCCCAGAGTTCAGGCCCCACAACTAGACCCAAAAGAAAAAAGAAAAGAAAAGACTCAGAATACCAACACAAAGCCAGAGTTAAAATTCATCAAAATAGAATTATCAAGTAGAATTAATTATTGAGTTAAAAACTATTGTATCCTTAAGACAGGAACAAGAAGTTATGAAAGATCCAGTTAGAAATCTTGGATATGAAAAGATATTGAAATTAAAATTTTAATCAAGCAGAGTGGCAGAACAGACCCAGCAGAACTAATGTATGAGCTAGAACATTAGGGAAAAAAAAGAAGGCCAAGGACAAACCAACCAAAAGACATAAAGGGATCTCTGTACTCCCAGCACTCGGGAGGCTGAGGTGGGAGGTTCAAAAGTTCATGGCTGGTATGGACTACATCCTAACACTGTCTCAACAACAAAATGAAAGGGAGGGAAGGAGGGAAGAAAAAAAGGTCAGAAATAGAAAAGAAAGAAGAACATCAGAGGAGTTACCCAGAAGCATCTGCATAACCCTAGGTGATGTCTGACGTCAGAAGATAGTCCTACACAGATCTAGTTCCTGTAACTGGTATGTAAGACATAGGGAAATGTGCCTTGGAAGA